TACGTTATTGTCAGTGGGTTAGGAGCCATGGATTCGGTGCAATTGGTGGTGCAAGTTTGGTGTTCTTTAATTGGCATAAAGAAATTAATGAGTGGATTAGCATTTGAGAATTCTCTCAGCAAGGATTTTGGATGAGTCAACTTTGGATTCTTGGAATACTGTGGCTTTGTGCTGGGATTGAGTTCAATATACATTTACAAATACAGACACAGGATGGGATTCATTTGGTTAATGCAATTTCAGGCTCTGCTGTTTCATTGACTGGAATTAATGCCACATTAGTTAACAACAAATTTAGTTTTATTGTGCTTCCTCATTTTTCGTGGTGGTGTACCTGTTACTGAAATTGAGAGGCATGTACTTGTGTTTTGAGCTTTTCAAATATAATAATGAGTCATGCATATTGGTTTTGAATGGTTGCGTTCATCTTTAAATGATTCTATCATGGATTTGTGGTGACATTGAATTCATTTGGATGTGGTTGGCTACTGAAAATGCTGTCCAAGTGGATAAAAGGGAAAGGATATGCTGGACATTTGTGAAAGAACTTTTAATCTGAAGAGTGATTTGATCTGTCTTTTAACTTGATGATATTGTAAATTATCCTATTTACTTTGGTCTTTGGTTGGAGACTGAATGTCTTGAAACTATTATGTAAACTGTAACCAGTGAATTTTTTTTGGGGGGGTTCCTTTTGCTGTAATTTTTCCTTCCCTTTCAGTCATTGGTTTTGTGTGGTAAAGTTTGATGGTATTTATGTGTTGCAGGAGAGGAGCGATTGTCACAACATTCATAATATGTTATGCTCTCACATCATTCATTGCTGGTTATGTGAGTGGAGGGATGTACTCTCGCCATGGAGGTACGTATCTTCATCCATCAGTCAGCTGATTTTTCTGTTTTCTGTCTTCATCATTTGCTCATGGTTCTATTGTGGTTGCCAGGCAAAAATTGGATCAAGTCGATGATTCTCACCGCTTGTCTCTTTCCATTTATGTGCTTTGGGATTGGGTTCATCCTGAACACAATTGCCATTTTCTATGGGTCTTTAGCAGCCATTCCCTTTGGCACCATTGTGGTAGTTTTTGTAATCTGGGCTTTTATTTCCTTCCCTCTGGCTCTTCTTGGCACTGTTGTTGGAAGAAATTGGAGTGGTGCTCCAAACAATCCATGTCGTGTGAAAACCATTCCCCGTCCAATTCCTGAGAAGAAATGGTACCTCACACCATCTGTGGTCTCGATGATGGGAGGACTTTTGCCCTTTGGCAGCATATTCATTGAGATGTACTTTGTCTTCACATCCTTCTGGAATTACAAGGTGAAATTTTTTGTTTTAGTGTTGATTGGCACAAGTAAAAATATATCAATCTCATGTATAATGATTGTTTCTCGATACCCTTAATTTTAACTTTGTGTTTTTGTGGTGCAAATTTTGTATCAGCTCGAGGGCATAAAACTGTCATCTAAAAGTGTATGACAGTAGTTTGATACTCAACTGACTTCAAGCAAGTTTGATTCTAGAAAAACCTTGATGCCTAATGACTTATTGTTTCTTAAGGGCATGGACATGCTTGTCTTTGTCTGACTAAATCTTTTTAAGTGAATGAAGAACTGCAACAGAATTCTTTTCCTACCCAGAAAAAGCATGCTGCAAATATATTATATACTGAAAAGTTTTCCTGGGACCCCCTATTCTAGTTTTTTTATTGCCTTTTAACTGATTGGAAGGCCTGTTTAGATTGGTTTTATGTATATTGAAATATTTCTGATCACTATTTTTTTTTTCATGAATGAGAACCCAAAAAACAAATGAATGGTACAAAGTAAGCTATGTTTTTCCTTGACAGCTCACTAACCTTGCTCCTGCTGCTGGTTGACAGGTCTACTATGTGTACGGGTTTATGCTGCTTGTTTTCCTGATTCTCATTATTGTAACAGTTTGTGTAACAATAGTGGGGACATATTTCTTGCTTAATGCTGAGAACTATCACTGGCAATGGACTTCATTCTTCTCTGCTGCCTCAACAGCTGTTTATGTGTACTTGTACTCAATATATTACTACTATGTGAAGACTAAGATGTCGGGCTTCTTCCAGACAAGCTTCTATTTTGGATACACTTTGATGTTCTGTCTTGGATTAGGAATTCTCTGTGGTGAGTTTGTTATTTTTGCTGTTTATACTGCACAATGCCCTTGAGTTGACTGAATTAATGCCATTCTCATTAAATCCTCCTTGTTTCTCATGGGAAACAGATTATACTTGTTGGTAGTTTTTTCCTCTAGTAAATTCATGATGAGGCCCTCGATACAATCATTTGCTGGTTGATAGCAAATATATGCAATTTGCAACTGAATTGGCCATGAATCAGGGATCAAGATCAAGGATGTCCTTGTCGTCGTACCCTTGTTATGGTTCTTTCTTATAATGATTGATATGATTATTATTTTTTTCATGCGCAGGAGCTGTTGGTTATTTAGGCTCAAATTTGTTTGTGAGGAGGATCTATAAGAACATAAAATGCGACTAGAACTTCAGCGAGGAAATGGAGACCTCAAAGTGCTTCCTCAGAGCTTGTTCTTATTGTTGAGACAGTGATTTTTGAGATGAAGCCTCTGGTCATGCATGGGGAACTCAACAATGCACAGATATAACAGGGTTTTTGGATGGGGGATATATTCTTCGTTCTCTGGAAAAAAAGGAAGCCTTGAGATGTTTTTTGGTTATCTTCCCCGCTGTAAGTGAAGGTCTTAATTTAGAATTAAGAGATTGTTTTTGTAATCTGTGAAGCTAGAAAAATATATCAAACACCTTTCATTTTGCTATACGCTTTCTCATGGAAGTAGGTCACTACATGAAGGACTGATACCTATCTTCCTCTTCTTTTTTTTGTTGAATTTGTTCTTATTATTTACTGATCTCGGGAAGAATCGTCATGTTCAGGTTCTGGAAATGCATTCTGCGCTGCTTAAAAACTATCTATGCTATTTTTGCAGTAGTTCTCTGGAAACTTTTATTGAACAGTACTTCGCATCTTGGCAGGGCCAGTTTTCGGGTTCCCCCTGAACCTGGATTGAGCCCTTTGAATGCACATTCATAATTCTCAAAACCAGGATGGCCTGCCTTAGGGTTTGTATTTGTCCGACTTTACCAAGTGTGTGTTTTTGTAGTTATAGTTTGCAAAATGGCAGGTTTTTTTAAAAAAAAAACTATAATTGATCTAAACCCATGTTTGAAAGAGAGTTTTCAGGGGATTTTTTAAAACTATTATTGTACATGTACATGTAATTTTTAATCTTTGTACGATAGTGATAGCAAATATGTAGTTTTATTAGTTTCTTAGAAAAAGAAAATTTCGTTGTTTTTTTTCTTGATATTTGGCGTGTATATCACTCTCTGTATATGTCCTATATATATGTTCTATTTAGCATGTTTTTTTTTCAATCTTTATTTTTAAAATATTATTCTAGTTTGTTTTATTACACTTTATCTTTAAAAAACAATATTATTATTTATTCGTTATAGTTAGAATATTTATTACTTTGCACTTAATTTATTTATACTATTTTTTATTTATATCTTCATTCTTTTATAATTTGTTTTTGTATTTCTGTATTTTTGTACTTTTTTTCTTTTTTTCGAAAAATTATTGAACAAAACTAAAAGAAAATGGTGATTTATTTTCTTAATTAAAATTTTATCTCATTCTTCTATTGTATTGAAAAAACTTGTATATATTTTTTTATATATAAACATAATTATTTGACTCGCGGTGCAGTTGAAATAAACTAGGCAGTTAGCAAATGGGATTGCACTTGTGATGGAGAGATAAAATGAAGGTTGAATTGCAAAAACAAACTGGAGGTACACGTATGCAATTTATTTGCCAACGAGTTATGCGGTTAATGTGCTGGAGTCCATCGAGTCGGTTTGCCGAAGTCCTTGGTGTTCCAATCCATCGATATGGTGTTAACAACATGATGCCTGCCTAAGGCCTCAAAATACCAAATTAATATTTTTTTTTAATAAGGATTAAAATTGATGTTGGTCTTAAGTGAATTTCTTGATTAATTTTTTTTAATTCAAGTTTTAAATCTAAAATATAATTTACATATTAAAATATGATTCTTTTAGAAAAAATAAAAACCTTTATGGCCTAACGGTTTTGATAGGGAATTTCCAATTTCTTTACCTATAGGGAATTTCCAATTTCTTTACCTAAAATTCGAATCTTTGTGTTTATATTTGTCATTCTTATGGTGTTTTGTTTGTTTACTAAACTTGTAGGATATTTAGTAAATTTAAAAATTAGTCGTAGTATGTATAAGCTGATCTGAACACCTTGAACTATCAAAAAAAAAATGATGATGTTTATCTTTTATTTATGATTTATGTAATAATAATTGAGTAATTTTTTTTAAAAAATAGTATTCATGTTTATATATATATATATATATATATAAACATAAATAAATAATCACTTTAAAATCAGAAAAAATAAAACTCGTAATCAAACTCAAAATTTCTTTTCATTCCGCTATTTCCCTAACTCAAAACGTTTTTTTCTAACTTTCTCATATCGATAATGCATTTATCATTAATCAAATAGAGTATTGTGCCAGAATAAAGTTAATAAAAAAACTTTTTAAAAAAATTCATGATAATTACATTAATTTGACCATTCAAGAAAGGGATGTGATTATTAAATAGGTTGCGGTTCAGTGGTGTCGGCGCTGTTTTTTTTTTTTTGAACTTCGGTTCGAGTAAAAAAAAAGAAGAAGAAGAAAGGGATGTGATTTTTAAATTTGCTTATATAAACTGATAACGTGGAATATTGAATAATATTAATTAATGAAAGGAGCTATAACTTATGCGGTGTTTGTAGTTACATCCTTTAACGCCATGAAATTTATTTGGTGATAATAGAAAGATAACGCAAGCCACAGAAGGTAGCCATGTGGCAGATAGGGTTCTATTCTATGCTAGTTCACCTCTCTCATTCCTAGCCACAACATTTCCACGAGCCTCCGACTTCCTTTAGACTCCTACATTCAGAGAGAGAGAGGAATGGCAACCACAGCAGCCCTCAGCACCAGCGCCATGGTTAGCACCTCGTTTGCTAGACAAAAGCCAGTGACAAGCCTACGGGCTCTTCCCAGCGTGGGGGAGGCGCTTTTTGGCTTAAAAGCCAGTCGAGGAGGACGTGCTCGAGCAATGGCAGCGCACAAGGTGAAGCTCATCACTCCTGACGGCGAGAAGGAGTTTGATTGCCCCACAAACGTCTACATCCTTGACCATGCTGAGGAGGCGCATGGAATGGACCTCCCATACTCATGCAGGGCTGGAGCTTGCTCTTCATGTGCTGGCAAGGTTGTGCAAGGGACTGTGGATCAGTCTGATGGTAGCTTCCTTGATGAAGGCCAGATAGCGGAAGGTTGGGTTCTCACTTGTGTTGCTTATCCTACGTCTGATGTTGTCATTGAGACGCACAAAGAGGAAGATTTTAGTGCTTTTTAATCATAACTACTTAGATCTCTTTTTGTTTGTGTCGGGATCAGGCCGTGTGTTCGAGAGGGAGATATCTATGATCATTGATAATCTTTCTTCTTGTTGAGTTTCTTCTTTCATTTTGTAGTCTCGAATGAAACTGCTATAACTTAATAAATCTTATTTGCATTCGAGCTATTCTTGAAAATGATTTTTATAGCATATTTCGGAATTTATGTTTTACTTTTGGATGCTCTTGTTGATGTCAAAACCACTGTTTGTTAAACTTGTTTCAGGTCTACGAGAGACCAGCCGACCAAACCCTATTAGAGGTTGAGTTTCAAATTAATCCATACAGGAGTAATTGATTCGACGCCATTTAGTCACCTTTATAAATTTTTTTAATTTAAATTAACATCATTTTAAAAAAATTTAAAATTACACTGTCTTTTATTGACTTAAGTCAATTGAAATTGACTCGATCGATGACCTTAATTTTAGCTCAGGTCATAGATTAGACTGAATTTAATAACTTTGTCGTGTGGGAGTTACTCCTGACCTAACTCAGTGATCAATTTAAAGGCAATCTTGTTAACATGTTAAAAATATTTAAAAATAAAAATAAAATTGATAAAAAATTATTATTTAACTTGGATTTTAAATTAAAAAAATATGAGAAAGACATTAAAAAATAAAAGAAATAAAAATAAAACAAAAAAAAATATGTGAGTTGCTTTGATATTATTTAGTTAATTTGATTAGCTAAAGGTAAATCAATTCACCTGTAAAAAAATATTTAAAGATAAAATTTTAAAAAATTAATAAAAAAAATTTTAAATTGACTTTTTATTTAACCAAAATTTAAAATTAAATTATTAAAAAGTTATTTCAATGTAATTTATTTAACTTCATTATTAGTCCAATGAAAACTTAAATTACTGTTAACAAAAGACTAAGAATAAAGTTAAAAGCAGAAAAAAAGAGGATTAAATTGAAAAAAACAAAAACTTTACTATTCGTATAAATGATGAAGATTCAAAAGAATCCCAATTTATTTAACATAGAAGGTAATTATCGAACACCATCTCTTTTCCAGAAAGAGACGCGCGCGCGCATCATGAATCTAAATCAGAGAGCAAGAACGGATCTCGCAACTGTCATTATGTTGAATTAGTTTATGTAACATGAACTACTTAACTAAATGGTAGATCTCGCCAGTTCATGCAAGGAAAATAATTGCCAGAAACAAGGTGAAAAACAAAACACAATTTTACATAGTCAAAACATATAGAAAGCAAGGAAAATTACGATCCAAATGAGAACTCCACTCCTGCTCCATGGATGAGTTGGGATATGCTGTGGAAAACAAAGGTGGATTGCTGCCTCATCGCTGTAGTTTTTAAATCTGACCATGAAACCGATTTATGATAAGGCTTGAATCAAAGGATACAGGGGTGATTTGGATTGATTTAATTTTATTTTTTTCAAAGTTAATTGTTTTTTTTATTTTATTTACGTGAGGTGTCCAGGTCAGCTTGCGCGCACTACAACTAATCCCTACGGCCCATTAAATACCCTGCAAACCCAGCAGACAGGTAAAGCACCGCGGGAGTGACAGGCATACACGCTAAGGTTCGAATTCATGTACAGTAAAAAAAGACAAGCCCCTTTCATTATTAGATCAAGCCTCTCAATACAGTCAATTGGTTTTTTACTGGATTTTACCCCAGGTTATTTAACCGCATGTAAACATTGTTTTTTTACTAGGTCTTCCAAGTCAATCATACCTTTATTTTTTTAAAATTTATACTCATTCGAACCTAAAATTAACCTGCAGACCAGCTTAAATTTTATAAGAGATTCTCTAACTTTTCTACCTATATATTCTTTAGATATAGGGTCCAAAATAAGTCTCACGACCAACTTTCAGTTGCCAAACATATTTAGATTGGCTTTTTTTACATGAACCATATAGATTAATTATTAATATAATGTGACACATAGTTAATAGGTTGGTTATGCATGATATTAATATATTTATATAAATACATATATATTATTTATAAAAGCTTAATTTATCTTTAGTATTTATATAATATTAGATTAATGACTCTAAATTTTAATTTATGAATCTAATGTGAAAATAAAGTTTATGAGGTAAAAATACTTTGTAAATAAAGTTATAAAGTTGTTATAATTATGAGATTCTTATTGCATTTAAGCATTATTCCTGAAATATTACTAGTGAATGCATACTTAAATATTATATATTTATTATAACCATAAAAACTGATGTATATCATGTTCTTTCCTTGTAAAATGAAGCAACAATTCTTATGAGCTGGGTTATAAGGGATATCTAGAACTAATATATAGGTGTTTCTCATAAAACCCGTACATTGAATTAACCGATATAAGAATCTTATAAGAAGAGATCATATATATTAATGTAAAGTCTCACGTGATAATTGTGTAAGTAATCCTTAGACTTAAGATCACTAAGTTATCTTATATAGATAATGTTGTAATTTGATCATGCTGCATGTTATTTTAATTGAGGTAGTGAAGGGGCATATATTGAATATTACATGAACTATATGAAGGTACTTGAGTTATCAAGAAAATGATTCATCATCATGGGTGAATTAGAGAAAATATTTCATTTATTCTCAAATAATTTTGACTGATAAATCTTTGGTTAGTGAAAAATGAGATTTGAAAATAATTTTAAATATTATTCAAATAATTAATGATTACTATGTAGAAAGTAAACATGATTTAAAATGATATACATGCTCTATACTTTAATATTAAATCAAAATATTAGTGATGAAATGATTTTAATTACAATGAGAAACCAATCATTAAAATGTTAAGTTAAATCACTAATAATTTTTTTAATATTTAAGGGATTATAATGCATCGCTAAACAATGCATTTGATCTTCAAATATAAATTAATCAATTGTTAAATTAATAGTAAATTATATTGTTTAATTTATTTAATTAAAATTAGAATTTATATTTGGGTTAACATGTTAGGAACCTAATGGATTACAAATATTAAGAAACCACTGATAAAAAATTAAGCTGAGGTAATTTAATTAAGTACAACTTGATTAAAATATATTTTAAAAATTAAGAACTATAGTATAATTAATATAAAAATTATTTTTTTAGATGTAGAAAAATCAAGTAAGAACTTGACTGGGTTAATTTCTAAAATTATCTTGAATTAATATATAGATATTATTTAAGGGATAAATTGATATTTTTCAATTTATAGAGTTTCTCAGATTTCCCTGTAAATAGTAAGCCATGCCTTTTATTTTTTAAAATGGTTATTTGTTAAACTAAAAACTATGTAAGTCACATAATAAAAAACTAACACTTTAAGTTTAACAATCTCTCTTTTCTAAATAGATATTTAAGAGATTTCTCAAAGTAATTCATGTGGATTATCATTAAAGGATTTATAATAGGACAACTTGTGATTTGCAATAACTCAATCTTTAAAAAATTATTTAAAATCGAAAAAGATCAAATCTTTAAATAACAAATACTTAAAAAACTCTGAGTTTATTTAATGGGATCTTAAAGACTCTAAAATAATTTTATTTTATTGTTTTTACTATATGTATGATATTCAAGAGTCCAACATTAATCATATAATTCGATTTTCGTAGATCTTTTTAATTGAAAATTTTTTTTTGCAAGTTTTAATTTAAATATTTTTTTTGAAATATTTAAAGAGAGAAACAAAAGAGTAATATTTTCTTAAGTTAAGTGAAGATATTTATATTATTTTTAATGATTGTCAAATTTAATTCTTTTTTATTATTTATCTATTTTTTTTTAAAAGCGGGACTAGTATGTATTTCTTCTTCAAAGTGGGACTAGTATGTAACTCAGATGGAAGGGATTACATTATAAAAACATCTTAAGTTAAGGGACCACATAAATCCAAGAAATAATAGAGGTACTACATTAAGAAAATTCCCAAAGTAGAGGGACTAAATATGCAATCAATCCTGAAAAACAGCTCCTCAGGTACAAGAGCGGGAGGGTGAGTGCCTTACCAAAAAGAAAAGAAATTCCTAAACCCGCTCTAAAACCCTAGCACTCACGATTACGCCATGGCGCTCCGCCTCCTCCGCCTCCGTCGAGCCCTAACTCCACTCTCTTCCACACTGCAACCCCCTCTCTCCACTCCTGTCCCAATCGCACCACCATCCGCACAGTCCCCCACAATCATTTCCCGATCGCGGGTTTTCACGGGAACCAGGGTGTCGATGATGTCAACGACGACGGCGAGACCAGAGAAAAAATACAAGCTTTACGAGGACGGATACGAAATCACTGAGGACACAATTCTGTTCCCAGGCTGCGATTACAATCACTGGCTCATCACCGTTGATTTCCCCAAAGATCCCAAACCCTCTCCTGAAGAAATGGTCGCTACTTACGAACGAATCTGTGCCCAAGGACTCAACATCAGGTTATTATTTATTTATTTATTTATTTATTTATTTATTTTTAGCTTGAAATCTATATATAATTAATGCTGTTGTGATGTTTTTTGAAGTATTGAGGAGGCGAAGAAGAAGATTTATGCTTGTAGCACAACTACTTACCAAGGGTTTCAGGCTTTGATGTCTGAACAGGAGTCAGAAAAGTTTAAAGGTCGGGTCTTGTTGGCCAGTTTGTTTCTGGTTTTAGCATTCTTGGTTTGTGCATTGTTATTGTCTGGAATGCTTGTTGACTTGTTATGTATGATGGTTGAAACAGATGTTCCTGGGGTTGTTTTTGTACTCCCGGATTCGTATATTGATCCGGTGAACAAGGAATACGGAGGTCAGGTTTTTTTCCTTGTGATTAAAATTTGTTTGTTCTGTTCCGTAGTTAAATTGAATTTGGGTTATTGCATGATACATGTAGGGTTTTTGTTTTACTTGTTTAAGCTAGTATTAGTCCTTTAGTTTGGTAGTTTGGTTATTGCACAAGTTAGTTAAAATGCAGAATGATATGGTTTGTTAGGATGGTGATTTAAACTGATGTAATCTGCTTTGCAGGAGACAAGTATGAAAATGGAGTGATTACTCCGAGACCACCCCCAGTGCATAGAGGGGGAGAAAGACGGTATGAGCGGAATAGACCTAGATTTAACCAGCAAGGAGGTCCAATGCCAAATTATCAAGGGCCGCCACCTCAGCACGGTCAACAGGGGCATATGCAAGGAGGTGGTAGTAACTATGGGCCTCAACAAAATTACCCACCACAGCAAAACCGTGGTCCTCCAGGACCAGGCGGTAGTATGCCGATGATCAATAGGGATCATGCCCCTGGAGGGAGGAACATGAATCAAGGACAGCAAGGAAATCTTTATGCCCCAGCACAGCAAGCTTACAACCCAGGACAGCATGGAAACCATTATCCCCCAGGACAGCAAGGTTACAACCTAGGACAGCAGGGGAATCTTTATCCCCCGGGACAGCAAGGTTACAACCAAGGACAGCATGGAAATCATTATGCCCCAGATCAAAGGAGCTTCCTGCAAGGAGATCCCAGGGATCATGGATCTCCTGGGCAAAGAGATTATAGGGGAGGTGACAGGAATTATTCTCCCACACATGCTGGAAACTATGGGCAGGGTGGAAATACTGGCATTGGACAACGCCACCTAGGTGATGGTCAGAGGTCCGCACAAATGGAGCAGATGAGCACTCAGGGAGAGCAAGTGAACTACGCACCAACAGGGCAACCGGGTTGGTCAGACCAAGTAAGGCAACCCCCCATTAGAAACTATGGGCAAGGTGGAAATACTGGCTATGGACAACAGAACCTAGGTGATGGTCCGAGGTCTGCACAAATGGAGCAGAGGAGCACGCAAGGAGAGCAAGGGAACCATGCATCACCAGGGAAACCAGGGTGGTCAGACCAAGTAAGGCACTCCCCCATTAAGTAATTAACTAGAACCTCTTTTTAGTTTTTAGATTATACCTGGGTAGTTTGATACCGGAGATGGAGGAAGAATGGTTTGCAGAGCCTTACATACATGGATGACGTGTAGGTTTGTTTTCAGGTTGATAGATTAAAACGTCATCTTGTGTGACTAGGTTAGCTGGTGACTGGTTACGAGTTAGATGACAGGAAAGTTTCATCAAGAGTCTTGTGATTGCTATCATGCAATTACCAATTCATCTATCGTGGGAAACTGGATACTGCTGAAATGTGAGGAGAAGTTGGACACTATATCAACTTTAAGAAAGAGCTAGCTCCTTTTTGCCATTTACCATATCATCTTATTTCACTCATCTGTATTGGGCTGTGCAGGGAGGATATTGAGAAGACTCTGATGGTTCTTTGAGGTGGAAGAGAGAATGGAAATCACCTTCGTCTTTCAATTTTCATTGTCACGAGCCAGCAGGAAATAAACATTCGATGTCTGTTTTGGTAAATAGTCTTGTGTTTGTTGTTGCCTGTGTGAGACTAAGAAAGTAGGAATGCGTCTGTGTTTTTCCTGGACTGATCGAACTGTTCTATGAGGTTGCCAGGTTATGCATGTCTTCATGCAATCTGTCTGTCAACTGGTGACATTACAGAGCATGCACCCTAAAAACAACTGTATTTTTCCTCAATTTCAATGGGAATGATCTTACAGGAAAAAAAAAAAACAGTTGTTTTTAGGGTGCATGCTCTGTAATGTCACCATACCATACGTTTAGTTACTAGAAAGCAAGTATTCTGTATTCAGCAAACTTTTTGAGCTCCTAGCAAATAAAATGTTGATGCTACTTAAAGTTTCTAGTAGAAAACAAGTTCGGTTGCTTTTACAGTTGATTCTGACAGCTATGTCTCTTGACAGTTTGTTTACAGAAAATTCAGTGGGAGAAATCAGCTTTCCTAGGTGGTAATGAATATCATGAGGTGGGGCGGCAAGGTTATTGTCCAAGCCGCTTGCATATCAATCGAGATCAAGTCTTATCAATTGAGATTAAGAGGGGAAAAAAAATTAAGTGTTTTTGAAATGAAAAAAAGAAGAAGAAAGATTTTAAGTTTTTTATTTATTTTTTAGTATAAGATGTTGGTTTTTAAAATGGTTTTTTATTAAAAGTATTAAAATAATATATTTTTTATTTTTTAAAATTTATTTTTGATGCCAATACATTAAAATAATTATAAAAAAATTTTAAAATTTATTTTTAACATTAAGATATTAAAATAATAAAAAATAATTTTAAATTAAATTTTTATTTGAAAGTATGGCATTTTAAGTTTTTGGGATAATAATATCACTTGAATGGACTTAAATAGGAATCCATAGCAATTGACTTGAACATGTAAGAAATATTGATGTTGAGAAAAGATAAGACATTATATCTTTAAATTTAAAAATTAAAAAAAAATATACCTATGCCAAGCTAATTATAAAAGGTTCAAATCTACTAACTCAATCTCAATTCAAAATTGTTGCAATCCTAACTTGAAATAAATAAATAATATTAAAATTTGAAAAAAAAATTACATGTATATTAATTTAATTATATGCTAAATAGTTATAAATTATAGTATTTGAGTTTAAGTTATAAATACTTGATAGGTACTCAAAACTAAATAGGATATGGTTCAAATACAGGCATAAATGTCATGCTCTGTTCAAAATCTTTGATTAACTTGATCAGTGAATATCAGTTAATGTGTATGATTATATTAATTATCATATTGTATCACAAATGCATCAAATATATGAATATCTAATTGATAATGGAATATATGAAGAGAACAGACATTGAAAGGTTCAGATCTCACAGATGCAGTAGTTTTTTGAAAAAAATATTTTTTTTCAGTTATTTCTATTTTTTTATTCAGTATTATTGGAATTTTCTACTTTATATATATATATATAGACTTGAATAGATAAAAAATAAATATTTTGAATGTCTTTATATAATTATAATATTCTCAACATTGAAGGATTTTGATTTATAAGAAACACTGTTATTTTTTGTTCATACCGCCTCTCATTTATGTTCTTCAAGCATTTTCTCTTGATTATAAACATTATATGTGATATCAAAATCAGTTTATATTAAATATTAGTGTATTGAAAAACATTTATAGGGAAGAGCCTTTAATTTATTTTGGAATTATTTTCTTTTCTCCTAGAAAAATATGAAAGTCCAAATGGAAAGATTTTCTCTCCACAATATATTTAGTTTCATACTAGTATACCCATAAAACTGGAGCCTTCTTCTCTCGCATTGCAAATTAGCTTGGAATATTTGATTTAATGATGCGGATAAATTCTTATTTTCTTATTTAATTGTATAGCGATAAAAATAGATATTCATAAGAAAAATAATGATTTGAATTTTGAAGAAAGGGCTTTTAGTCAAAATCCTATTTTCTTATTTATATAAACTTTTTTTTATTAGAAACATGGTTTATTAAATAAAAAAATAAAAGCAAGTAAAATACAATCAAAAAACAAATCTATTGAATTTAAACAAGGAGTAAAAAATGCGTGTCTCTAATCAAAACTCTTCTTACCAAATTTTTTTTTATCAGGAATATTATTTTTTAAATAAAAACTTATCATAATTAAAAAGAAAAATTCAATAAAAAAACACAAAATGTCATAATTGATAATATATATGTGTGTAAATGAATAAAAAAATTAAAAAAATAAAGCAAATATCTTATTGCATTTGATGTTCGCGAGGGTTTTTCTAATTAAAAAAATGAATCTTCGAAAATAATGATATAATTGAAAAATTGTTAAGTACTATATGAATAATTTTATTTAAAGTCGATCGTGTTATAAAATGTAAAAATATCATTATAAACTCACAAGCCTAGCCCAAAATGATAAAGTCATTTAAAAAAGAAGAAGGGGTAGACAAACTAGGGCTTGATTTTGTTTTTTTAAGGATAGATATGTAGGAAACATATTTTTTTAAATAGCATGATTCACATTGTTTTACTGTTAAGATGATGTGTCATCTGTCTGTATTTTTTTTTTATTGATATGGATATTTGGACAATTTATATATATTTTAATTACTTTTATAAATATTAAAATTAATAATTATATAAATTTTAATAACTTTTGGGATTTATAAATATTAGAAGATATTTTAATAGCCTTGGGATTTGTAACTATTAGAAAGTAGCGTTCTGGAAGAAAAAAATTCAAATTACAGGTTTTTAGATTTTCAAAAGTCGAACCTCAATTATTTTTATCTAGAAATATATAAAAACCATCATATGAATCTTTTTAATTTTATTTTTAATTATAAAAAAACATTTTAATTTGATAAAAAACTCAAAATCAAACCATATAAATTTTTTAGCCCTGATCTACTTTGTCAAACATCATTAGAGGTAAAAACCATATTTATTGAGTTCACCTCTTAAATATAAATTTAAAAATACTAAAATCATAGTTATTAATGGCCAAAATTTCACCATCTAAGAGCTTTCCTCGCTTTTTTTTTTTTTTTTGTAGAAACTCTCTATTCTCTGGATTTCAAGGGATATAAATGTAAAAAAAAAAATGAAGTACTAAAGCATAAAACCAAAGAATAGGGATTGGATATGTAAAACGTGAACCTTGAAGGACTAAATTGAACATTTTAGCATCATTTAAACAATAAACATGTGGAAAGGTTTTTTTATTGGAAATTTCAATTTCAATTTTGATTCTTAAATTTTAGTTTTAAAAACAAAATCAAATTATTTTTTATAAAACAAATCAATAATTAATTGTAAGACTATACAAATCGAAACAAATAACAATTAATAAAACTATGTTGATGAAATTTGTAAGGAAGTAATTGAAAATAAATAAAGTTTAGTGAATAAAATGAAAAGTTCAAGGACCAAAAAAGAAAAAGTCTATTATAAACATCAATAATAAAATAAAATCAGAGAGGAGCTATAGTAGATTAAGGGTAAAATTATCAAATCCGTTACCTTTTATTTTATAATAAAAAATAGTATTTGAATTCTAATAATTAAATAATATTGTTTTTGAACAAAAAATCACGTAGTGAGGGTAATGGGCTAGTTTAGTAAAATACTGGACTCCTTAATTTAGAGAATTATAGCTCTGTTTGTTTGTGGAAAAGTTGTTTATTTTTGAAAAGTAAATTCCTAGAAAAGCAAATTCCTGAAAAGTAAATTATTTTTTGATATTTGGTAGTCTAGAAAACATTTTTCAGTGTTTGGTTATTTTATGGAAAATAATTTATTAACATTTTATTTTTCTCAAGTTTATTAAAATAATAAGGAACAAATCTTACAAATTAAAAAGTTGAATAAGAATGAATTTGAAAAAATATAATTTCATAAATTATCTCAAATAAAATAAATAATAATCAAAATAATAAAGATCAAATCTAAAAAAAAAAAGATAAAGAAATTAAAATAATAATAATGAACATTTCATAAAGTATTTTAAATAAAACATGTAACAATCAAAAGAATAAAGACCAAATTTGATAGATAAAAAATTTCAGTAAAAAAATAACAGGAGAAAAACAAATAACAACTATAAAAATAAGGACCATAGTTAATATAAAAAATAAATATTCAAAACAAAATATATATATATATATATATCAAAAGTTCGAGGATCAAATTTGATATAATCAGCAAATAATGACATTTCTAAATTTTTCATAACTTTCAGAAAGTGTTTTTTCTTAAATTTTCTAGGAAAACACTTTTACGAAAACTAATCCAAATTTTTCTTTGACTGAAAAGTATTTTCCATTGACCAACTTTTCTAACAACAAATAAACATAAGAAAGTTTTGAAAGTAATTTTCTGGAAATCACTTTTCAAAAAATAAACACATAAATTTTTTTTTTTTCTGAAAACAAAGTCAAATTTTTCTTTAACTAAAAAATATTTTTCACTGACCAGAAAAATATTTTTTATTAATTAGAAAGTATTTTTTATTAAAAAAAATATTTTTTATTGAATAATTTTTTTAATAATAAACAAATATAAAAAAATTTTAAAAATTAAATTTAAAAAAATACTTTTAAGTAACAACCATGTCCTACAATTCAATAGTTAATTATATTTGAGAAAGCTAGAGAGGTTAGCGGGTATGGCCACAACAAATCCGAAGAACAGCTAATAATAGCCATCCTCGTAAAACAGCTCAAGACTTCCCGCCATTTTCGCTGCCCTCCTCCTCCCCGAAAGATGGTGGTTGGCAATGCTTCACGCCATTGCACCACTTTTGTACCCTTCTCATTATCATCCATTTTCTCCATTCTCCGATCCCTACATCTATCTTCCTCCTTGCTTCTCTTCTCAAGGTAACCATGCGTGATTTATTATTAATAACCTACCACTTTGATAGTTATCTTTGTAATGTAATGGTGAAACTTTTTTCTTTTTTATATATATATTATGATCTAATGCTCAGAGTATCCTCAACTAGCTTTCATGCAACGCGAATACGAATTTTCTTGATCGGATCTTAAGTAGGACAGTCATATCCGAACTTGAGCTGAATTTTGTTTTTGGTTGTGAGTTACGAGAGATTGATATGCTCTTAGTTTATTCTTCGCTGTTTCACCTTGGGAAAGTTGATCCACAAACTTGGATTCCATGGAAGATGAAAAAAGCTGGGACATGAATAATTACTATGTTAGATTAGCATGGTTAGGAGAATTTTTATGTATTTTAAGGAAAAATTAGATGTGTTTTAGCTGACTTCAATTAATTATCAATTAGAATAAATTAATTCTATAGTGTTATAATGCTAAGTGCTACTCTTGTTAATTTAATAATGATATGGTGTGATTAATAATTATATATCACTTCTGTGACAGGACAAATACAACTTTAGTGTTTATATGAAATTTGAAAGATTAAGAGATAACTTCTAATTTATGAAAATGCTTTAAAACTAGAATGTGTCTGTTTTTGTGTTATAACCTGCTTTTTAAATTGATTGTTGCATGAAAAAACATCAAATTAATATTTTTTAGGTGTTTTTAGATAGTTTTGATGCCCTAATGTGAATAATAAATTTTATTTTAAAAAACATAATTTCGGTGTATTTTTAATTTTAAAAAAACTTGTACTACAATACCAAACACACTAATTTAAGGCCATTCCATCTTAGTTTTGTCTACAAGAAATACCAATTTGGCATCAATGATAATGTAAACGTTGGACTTTATGTGGAGGATTCTTATAGTGGAACATCCATGGTATGTGAAGGAAGTTGATCTTTTGGCTACTCTAGCAGATTGATGTTTTGTGGTTTGTGTCATGTTCTTTTGTCGTTAATGTCTTTATGTGCATGCATGGTGTTAGTAAGTGGTTGTGTAGGTTATGTACATGTTTTTGTTCTTTAATCTGATTCTTTTGCTTCTCCTCATCTTTCTTTCCCTGGCAGGGGAAGATTCCTGGGGTCAACCTATGGAGACTGCAATCTCTGCATAATGCATTTGATATGGGCTCAAGTCAGAACACTGTGTTTCCATATTTTCTGACTGCTTATGATGCTTGTTCCTTCTGCAAAGCAATGAGTTTCACAAGCTTTGTGATGTAGATGCAAGTTATATTTGCATGGATTAAGGAACTATAACATAGACTCGATTCATCTCGGGGGGCTGGCTATCCACAACATAACGTTAGCATCTGATTGATTAAATTTGGGTATAGTTTTGGCAAATATAGGAGGGCCCTTGAGAATCTGGTGTTTGCAAAGTTAACAAGACAGAATGAGTACAGAAATCAATGTTCCTTGGAAGGCTCAATCCACTGCAATCCAGTCTTCTAAAGAATCTGTTTTTTTGCATGGTGAATTGGACATATGGATCTTAGAAGCTAAATCTCTTCCAAATATGGATCTAGCTTCAGAAAATATGAGAAAATGTTTTACTATGTGTGGATCTTACTCACCACTTTGTGGACACAAACCCATGACACATTCAGGCAAACATTCAATCATTACTAGTGATCCCTATGTGTCTGTTTGCCTTGCAGGGGCAACAGTAGCCCAGACTAGAGTGATTGCCAATTGCGAGAACCCTTTGTGGGATGAGCATTTCTGCGTCCCAGTTGCCCACCCTGTTGTAAAAGTAGAGTTTCATGTCAAGGACAATGATTTTCTTGGGGCACAACTTATTGGAGTAGTGGAAATACCAGTTGAAAAAATCGTCTCTGGAAATACTATTAATGATTGGTTTCCTATCATTTGCACTTCTGGAACTTGCCTGAAACCTTACCCTGAGTTGCATTTTTCCATTCAATTCAAGCCAGTTGAAGACAATCCTTTATACAAAGATGGTGTTGGTGATGGACCAGAATACAAAGGAGTTCCCAATACATACTTTCCACTCCGGAAAGGAGGGTCAGTGACACTTTACCAAGATGCTCATGTACCTGATGCTGTGCTACCTAAAATTACCCTGGATGATGGGAAAGTTTTTCAGCATAGTAGTTGTTGGGAAGACATATGCCATGCTATCTTAGAAGCTCACAACCTGATATATATTGTGGGGTGGTCAGTGTACCACCGTGTCAAGTTGGTGAGGGAGCCAACAAAGCCATTGCCAGCGGGAGGTGAGCTTACTCTGGGAGAGTTGTTAAAGTACAAGTCAGAAGAAGGGGTCCGTGTGGTTATGCTACTATGGGACGATAAAACTTCACATGACACATTCTATCTAAAAACGGTAAGCACTTCCAAAACCTTAATAAACATTGCAGTGATTTCATGTTAACAATTTATTAGTTGTTTTTCTATGCAACTTGAAAGCATAGTTATTAAACCTCATCTAACTTGATGAGTCATCCTAGCAATCCGCTGATCAAGAACCTGGCCCCAACCGAGTTTCTGTCTGAATCATTTTGGACATAAAGCTGGTCAAACCCAAGTGACTCGGGCAGGTTGGTTGACCCTGAGTGAGACCCTGACTGGGTCAACTCTAAGATTTTTTTTACTATTGAAACCTTCTTCTTCTTCTTCTTCTTCTTCTTCTTCTTCTTCTTCTTCTTCTTCTTCTTCTTCTTCTTCTTCTTCTTCTTCTTCTTCTTCTTCTTCTTCTTCTTCTTCTTCTTCTTCTTCTTCTTCTTCTTCTTCTTCTTTTTTTTTTTTTTTTTTTTTAAACCCTTTCCTTCTTCTTTTTTTTTTTTTTTTTTTTTTTTATAATCCAGTACTAGTAGTTGATAATTATGACTAGTAATTAAAAGACTATTATCAAGTTCCAAAATCATACTTTGGATAGGCATCGATTATGTCTACATACACATATTATATATACATCCATTTTAAAAATATTATGTGAATTTAAATCCAGGATGGTGTCATGCAAACTCATGATGAAGAAACCAAGAAATTTTTCAAACATTCCAGTGTCCATTGCGTGCTTGCACCTCGTTATGGAAGCAATAAGCTTAGCGTTTTCAAGCAACAGGTGTGACCAATTCCATATCTTATCTGCTCTAAATGTGCTGGGCCTATGATTTTGTTCTCTGATACGACTTATCATTCTAGTCCAGGTTGTGGGAACGCTTTTTAGCCACCATCAGAAGTGCGTGATTCTTGATACTCAATCTTCTGGGAACAACCGAAAAATTACTTCTTTCATTGGTGGCTTGGATTTATGTGATGGCAGATATGACACTCCTGAACATAGGCTCTTTCGTGATCTTCACACAGTTTTTGAAAATGATTTTCACAATCCTACATTTCCTGTAAGTTTTTACTATACATATCTAGAAATATTTGCATGGACGATCTTTGTTCATACAGCACCTGAGCTTTTTTGGGCACGATATCATCCTTTCAAGTGCCTTTTTTATTAAAAAAAACACTAATTTAATGTTTTTTTTAGAATGTTGTTGATGGTTTTGATATAAAGATGTGAAATTTATTAAAAATCACCTGAAAAAAAATATCAATTTGATGCCTTTTCAGATAAAAAGAACTTTGACAACGCTTCTAATCACATGAATTACCAAACACAAACTAAATCATTTCGTAAATCTGCTATCCGAATATTTGCACACTGGTATTTATTGATTTAAGATATGAACGCTAGGAATATCTTTGACCTGCTAGGACACTTGTTCGCATCCACAACTTGCTATTTATATCATGAGGTACACTGCAGTGTGTTGTTATCGAATATGTATAATGGCATGATACACTTGTTGTGTGCAATCCAATCCGCAAGTGTCTTCAGATTTACTGGGGAAGTGCTTTGTGGGATGTTAATTCTGGTTTTTTGGAAGGCTGACTAAGATAAATATAAGCACATGTTAACTTTATTTTGCTATCTTTCTCGCCAATTCATAAAGGGAAAAGAAAAACTCTTAAATGAAGAAACATTTTATATACAGTTTAACATTTTCTTGCAGATGGTGTTTGCACTATAACATTTCTGGTTTCTTTTTGATACTTTGTGTTTTGCAAACTAAAAATGATTTTACTCAAGTCTGAGAGATATGCCTATATACAATGTATACTACTCCAATTATGTCTTTAAGTTGTGATGAGTAGAGGTAATTACTGATTGCCTGGGAGCATATTTGGATTGGAATTGAAGAAAATTGTGGCATGCTTGTTGATTGGAATGACTTTAACATCATTGATTTAGATTCTCCATTTGAAGATTAGTGTTTTTTTATGTCACAAAATATAGGCAAAACTTCATCTTCACCTCGATGACTAACCTATTGGGAAAAAGAGTAATGCAGTTGTCTACATGGTATCAACTGGTGCATAGCTAAAACAAAATCCCAGAAATGGGATTGGCCTACAGGATTTGTTTTATAAGATTTTTCATTTAAAAATGGACAGTACTTTAGATTTACTGCAAAACCATCTAGTTGGATGGTTTTTGCCTAGCTCTCTAGTCCTTTATGCAACAGAAGAGATGCTAAAAGGTATCCCTAATAGCAAACTTGTGGTTCATTTGCACAAAGAAACCAGAAATTTTATAAGAGGTAGAAGTACGGAATTCACAGAGGAGAATTGGTATAATGGCTTTTCCATTGTGAGTGTAGAGGTGTATGAATATTTGTAAGAGAAGATAGATAGATAGATATCTTGGTCAATGCCATTGCTTAATTTCAAGGAGCATATTCGTTAAACCATTTATGTCTTGGATATGTGTGAATTTAGTGAATTTGTTTGTCTTCAGAACAGTAAATATAGTCTCATAACCAAAAATCAGCCCTGTATTCTTTCAATTTCACAAACTTGTGATCATTCCTACCATTGAGCTTTTCTAAGTGCTGTGCTGCTATTCTTCTTAGCACTGCTGTCAAACTTCACCCAGTTTAGTATGGTAGAAATCATGCCATCTCGTACTATAGCTTGGAATGGGAATAATTCTTAGATAACTTTCTGAGGTTTTGTGTATAATTCAAGATATGAGATGAGATGGTGAAGGAATTCTCTATTCTTGCTCAAGTATTGATAATTTTTCTCTGTTATGTTTAGTCTAATACCAAAAGCCCAAGGCAACCATGGCACGACTTGCATTGTAAAATTGAGGGTCCAGCTGCTTATGATATATTGACAAATTTTGAGCAAAGGTGGAAAAAAGCCACAAAATGGCGTAGGATCAAAAAGGTCACTCGTTGGCATGATGATGCCTTGATAAAGCTAGAACGGATTTCATGGATACTCACTCCATCTTCTAGTCCTGATGGTGATAAAATTGTGCATGTCACTGATGAAGGAGATCCTGAGAATTGGCATGTGCAGGTTTGCATTAGCTGGTTTTTACTAAATATAATTTGTATGTGTGAGCCCTTTTATTGGAGCCAATGAAAATTAAAATTATTGTTCTCTTTTATAGGTATTCCGATCTATAGATTCAGGATCTGTGAAGGGATTTCCAAAGTCTACTCAAGAAGCTGTGGATCAGGTTAGAACTAGCTTTATGATTAGCCTGCTAATATATGTTAGATTTAACCATTCTCTTGATGAGGGTATACCAGATTTATGTTAGATAAGTTTATGCTTGTAGTTTTAGGTTTATGTGATAACATTCTAGACCTACCCTACTTCAATAACTTTGCTTCTTTTTTGCAGAATCTTCTGTGTGGAAAGAATTTGAAAGTAGATAAGAGCATTCATACAGCATATGTAAAAGCAATAAGATCAGCACAACACTTCATATACATAGAGAATCAATATTTTCTTGGATCTTCCTATTATTGGCCATCATACAAAAATGCAGGTACAAAAGGCATGAGGTTGATTTCCTTTCCTAGTCAAATGTGATGAAATTTATTGATTTCTGCTTCAATAGACACTAAGGTTGCGTTTTGTTAGTGTTCAAGGACAGAAGAAATAGATACCGACGGGACAAAAACATGTGTGGTTGGATGTAGACAAAGACGTAATGTAAAGATGTCTCTAGGACAATTTTAGAATGAATTTCTGTCCTTTTAAAATAACAAGATGTGTCTTCTCTGTCTCCAACTTTTCTGTAGCGAAACAGTAACCAAACGCTATCAAATAAATAAAAAACAAACTTCTAAGGGAAGACATTAAGGTGTTTTTAGTTTCTCTATATTACTATGTGGTTCGATATATGACAAGGAAACTTCTGTTTTAACTTCATCCTCTATGACAGGAGGGAAGACATCAAGGTGTTTTTAGTTTCTCTATATTACTACGTGGTTGGATATATGACAAGGAAACTTCTGTTTTAACTTCATCCTCTATGACAGGAGCTGATAACTTAGTCCCCATGGAACTAGCACTGAAAATTGCTAGCAAAATCAGAGCAAATGAGCGGTTTTCAGTGTATATAGTAATACCAATGTGGCCAGAGGGTGTTCCAACTAGTGCTCCTGTGCAGGAAATTCTGTATTGGCAGGTTAGATTAGTTTTTATTTTTGTGAAATAACTATCTTTTACATGGCAAACACTTTCTATCATAATGAAAAACCATCTGTTTCTGCACATCACAAGGTTGTTCTCCAGCGTGAAATAACTATCTTTTACATGGCAAACACGTTCTATCATAATGAAAAACCATATGTTTCTGCACATCACTCTCCAGCTTCATATCATTTGTGCATGGTTAAGTTAGGTCTGCAGATCACTCCTGAGTTCTCTCTTGCAAAACTCCACGTTTACTTTTTGCTTGTGTGTGAGCTCTGTGTCATTTCGGTAATGGAATGGTTTCGAGCCCTAAGTCCTATCTTTCTTAACATGGCAATCAAGAACAATTTTAGGAACTAGAATCTCTACTAATCGTCCCCATCCACGGCAATAGTACAAAAGTAAACCGGGAAAAGAAGAGGTCCCAACTTTATTTTTGCGTTGTGGTGTATTATTTGTTGATGAAAACGTATAAACAACATGGTTGCGTATCTATGCGCCTTGCGTTGTGATTTCTGAAGCTAAATGATGATTGAATGACTGCAGGGACAAACAATGGCCATGATGTACAAGATTATTGCAAAAGAACTTGAAAAGGCCGGGCTTTCCTATCGGTATCATCCACAACATTATTTGAACTTTTATTGCCTTGGTAAACGTGAAAATTCTCCACACGATTCTTCAGAGATAAATCAGCAAACTGAAAATCGTTCACTGGTATGGCATATATTCTCAAAACCATATAAATTTGTTCTTTGACTCTTAACATGAAGGCACGTGTTAATGTATAATCAATGCTGAAGGCAAGTCAAAGCATAACTATCGAAATTTTAAAATTTAAATGTAAATGAAGGGAAAATAAAAAAAGACACCATAAATCAATCTTACCTTATTTCTTTGACTGGCACCAATTTTCAGAGAACATAATTAATTTTCAGATGCTCATCCTTGTTTTGTTAGATAGGCACCGTTGATTTGTTTCTTGCAACTGTAATGTCTGTATGCAATGTAAACTTGGACTTTTAATAAATTGTTGTCAGACTTCCTGACCTTCCGGAGACTGACATGAAAAAAGATCGGGGTCACTAGATTACTAGGATAACCCGTAGGTGATGGAGCCAGGTCAATTATTTTAGTTAAAATGATGTTGTGTCACTTTGGTTTTTCAAAGTATTCCATGGGTTTGACTCGATTAGGTTAGTACTGGTTAAATGGAGCTATTAAAACCTAGTCAAGTAAATAATTTTTTTAGTTCAACTTAACCTGAATCATAGATTTTCTAGTTGAACTTGTAAAGTCTGATAAGATTTAATAAATATGCAAACAAGTTTTTCATCCTTTTATTAGCCGAGGCTACATGTGTCAAGAAAAAAAAAACACTAATAAATGTTATAAATCTAGGCAACTAAAAATTTATATAATCATTAATTTAAAGTATTTTAAAAATAAATTAAGATCTATGTAAGTTTATAATTAAATAATAATAATAATAAAAGCTAATGAATGAAGTAAGGGAAAATGGGACTTAATTGAAAATATAGCACACATTTTGCCATTTAGTCAGCCTAAATTTATATCAGTAAATTGGTGTGGTGATGATTGATACCTGAACTGACCGCAGAGAGTCATTCTTACATATATCCGTATCAGTAAATCTTGGTTTTCTTCACAGGCAGCAGCTCAAAAGTTTCGGAGATTTATGATATATGTACATGCAAAAGGAATGGTAGTTGATGATGAATACGTAATCATGGGATCAGCGAACATTAACCAGAGATCCCTGGATGGTTCAAGGGACACAGAAATCGCTATGGGGGCTTACCAACCGACATACACATGGGCCAGAAAAAACTCTCATCCACATGGACAGGTTTGAAACTTCAGCTCTTATTTTCAGCTATAAAACATGGAGCAGAGAAAATTAATAGTTAGCATGGGTTTTTTTTATTGAATTTCTCCAAATATATACACTTAGCAAAAATAATAAATTTAAAATTTTTTAAGGAATCCTGAAAATCTTGTTACACAAAATCAAAGTTGTTTGAGGTTTATGTGAAAATTACTTGAAAATCTAAATTTTTTTCTAACTTTGTATATATGCTTCAAAGTTAAGTTATTGCAATTCACAAGTCATCTAATTATCTGGTCTTTAATGGTAATCTATATGAATCACTAGTGAAAATTATCCTAAATCCTTTTAGAAGAAAGAGATTGTTATACTTTAAAATGTTGGCTTTTTTTTTTTGTATTCACGTATTTATATATTGTACTCTTCTCACCTTAAAACCCCTAGAAAGTAAAAAATATAATATTCTAAAGAGATTGTTATACTTTAAAATGTTGGTTTTTTTTTTTTGTATTCACGTATTTATGTATTATACTCTTCTCACCTTAAAACCCCTAGGAAGTAAACAATATAATATTCTATTTATAAGAAAACTTAAAAACCCTATAAATAACAAAAATATCAATTTGCCCCTTAGATAATATCATAGGTTAATTTTATAAATTTATTCAATAAAGTTCTTATTTGATTTTTCTAAATTTAGAATTATAATTCCCTATATAATTTACACTTTAGTCTTCAATTTCTAAAACTTATTTACAATCAATTCATACTTGATTAATCATTTTATTTTAATTTGTGATTAATGGTTTTTATATGTATGACTCATTAGGTTTCCTAATAAGTTGATCTAAATATAAATTATAATCCTAAATAAAATAGGATTAAATAAATTAATTTAGTATTAATTTAACAATTGATTGATTTATATTTGAAGATCAAGTACAATGTCTAACAACCTGTAATGATCCCTTAAATATTAAAAAATTCATAAGTTGTTTCACTTAACCTTTTAGTAACTGGTTTCTCAGTTTAATTTTTATCTTTTTTATCAACAGTATTTCAATTTAGACATTACAACATGAAGTGCGTCTATCAACAGTATTTCAATTTAGACATTACAGCATGAAGTGTGTCTACTATGTCAAATCATGTTTGTTCTTAACACCATAGTCATTGAATCTTTAAATAAGATTTGAAACTTTCTATAAATTTCATTCTATCTTGCACAAAGATTTACAATCAATAACATTTAAAAACAAATAAAACATTTTCTCTAATTTATCAAGGGTAATGAATTATCTCTTATTTAATTAAATACTTTTATATAGTTCATGTTATATCTAATATCTATCTATTTATTATCCTTGATTAGGACAATTCCAGCAAGATCAAAATATAATACTCTCTATATAAGATAACTTAGTGATTTTAAGCTCAAGGATCACTTACACAACCGTCATATGAGCTCTTTCATAGAAACAAATGATCTCTCCATCTAGGATCCTCATGCGAGTCAATTCAGTGAACATGTCATCTAGTAAACATCTACATATTAGTTCTAGGTATTCCTCATATTTCAGTTTGTGGAACAATTGTTTCATTTTAAAAAAAAAAACATAATATGTATTTGTCTCATTAGCTTTAATCAATATTTAGTCTTAATAGAGCTTTGATCAATAACATTTTGGAAACAATGCTTTCATATAATAAGAATTTTATATTTCCTCATATTTCAGTTTGTGGAACAATTGCTTCATTTCACAAAAAAAAAAAAACATAATATGTACTTGTCTCATTAGCTTTAATTAATATTTAGTTTTAATAGAGCTTTGACCATAACATTTTGGAAACAATGCTTTCATATAATAAGAATTCTATATTTATAACAACTTTATAATTTTCTTTATAAAATATTTTTTTCCACAAACTTTATTTTTAATCTATATTCAATAATGAAATATTTAATGAATATTAAAGATAAATAAATCTTTATTAATAAATTAAATATATTTATATAAATAAAGTCAATGTCATATTTATAACCAACTGATTGGTTACATGACATATATGCTAGCACTTTCATGTCTATTACCTTTATGAAATATTTATTTTTAATTTTTTTTATTGAGTGGTTCTACTTAACATATTAGAATGGTTGAGACAACAATCAGATAAAGAGAAAGACTTAGAACAAGATTTCCGTTAATTAGAAGTTAGTTGAATGAAAAACAAGAAAGAGAGATGAAGTAAAGAGAAAGACTTAGAACAAGATTTCCATTAATTAGAAGTTAGTTGAATGAAAAACAAGAAAGAGAGATGAAGTTTTAATAGCGATGAATGGTGCTATTCTAAGCATAAGAATAGTTGTTAGACCTGAACTGGAGTGTAATTAAGAAAAAAGGTCTATTCATTAGATTGTCAAATTCATTTAGATTATTTTTTTTTCTTAAAATGAATTAAGAAAAAAGGTCTATTCATTAGATTATTTTTTTTTTCTCAAAATGATGTTGTTTTGTTATTTCAAAAAAATTCTTGGTGTTGACCTGATTAGATTTGGATTCAACTTAGCCTAGTCAATATCTTTTGGATTTATTGATATTGTGGTAATAATTGCTTCTCAAAGTATTTTTCATTTAAAAATATATCAAAATGATATTTTTTAAAATTTTTGAAATTTATTTTTGATATCAGCATATCAAAAGGATTTAAAATCATTAAAAAAATTAATTTAAAGTAAAAAAATATATAAAAAAATATAAATTTTTTCAAAAATGTTTTTGAAAATAAAAAACAAACATCATCCCGGTATGTAACAAGAGTGAAGGAGCAACCATAATCTTAATATGCACTTGCCATATCTTTTTCAAATCCATCACGATCATGTCTCGAACGAGTGCCATTGAAAGAGGGTAGAGTTAGTATAATGTCTCCTGTTATTACAATTGTTAATGTTATATTGCTTATCCTCACAATTTATTACTTGAATACGCAGGTATATGGCTACCGGATGTCTCTCTGGGCAGAGCACTTAGGCATCCTCGAGCAAGCTTTCGACGAGCCACAGAACCTTGAATGCATGAAACTTGTCAACAAGACTTCCAGGCACAACTGGAAAGCATATGTCTCCGAGGAGAGCAAGGAAATGAGGGGAAACTTGATGCAATATCCAATTCAAGTGAGCAAAAGTGGAGAAGTGAGTGCCATACAAGGTCATGAAACATTTCCTGATGTTGGGGGCAAAGTTCTTGGAGCATCCACCAACCTCCCTGATGTTCTTACTACATAGATATCCAGTTAAAGCTTTGAAGCTATGGAGTTCACCATATATAACTTAATCTGAATTGTTATAGTTCATGCAGATGCAGTGAACGTTCACAAGGGAGGAGCATGAAACTGGGGATAATGTATGTAACAATATTGTTGAAACATCAAACATGTACACAAAAGGTTCTGATTTACGTGAACACAAATTTTTAAATTTTGTGTTACGTAAGAAAATATTTCTTGTTTTCTTTTTAATTAATTCAAACTTATTTTCCATTAAATTTTAATTTAAACAAATAATTATGAAGGATGAATGAAGGTTTTAATTTAAATTTTTTGTTATAAATTAATATTTTAGTAGTTTGAGAGGTGATTTATGGTGCCTGCTTTTCTCCTGATTTGCATCGTTTTCTCCTAAGATGAATAAAGTACCAACCTTAAGAGAATGAATGGTGAAAAGATCTTCGATTAATGCTACATTTTAATAATAATTTTCACTAAGTTCTAGTTTAGATAAATAATTACAATTAAATATCTCTTGTTATGTTTAATTAATATTTGATTAGTATGAAGGATGATCGAATATGAATAGAGGAAATAGCTTCAAATTCATGACAAGCTTTGGCAGTGTATGTGTGTTAAAAGAAAAAGTTTTTTTAATCTTCAATTTAAAAAGTACAGCAAAATTATAAATTTAATTTGTTTGAATTCTAAAATTATAAAAGTCAATCTTATTCCATTTAATATTGTAAAACGAATTGTGACTACTGATAAAAAGAAATAATCAACAAATTCTTTGATTTGTTAGATCATTGATACGACTAAAAGATTGATGTCTTCTCCTAAGTGTAAGAGTGTCGAAGTAATAAATAACCCGGCAAGACCAGGATCGAACCACAAGGAGGTTAATTGTACAAATTATAAATAACAATAATACAACAACAACAACAACAACAACAACAATAATAATAATAACAATAATACTAATAATAGTAGTAGTAGTAGTAATAATAATAATAATAATAATAAAGAAGAAGAAGAAGAAGAAGAAGAAGAAGAAGATGATGATGATGAGAACTTTGAGATGAAATATTAACGTAAAGATTTAACAACGATAACAACAAATATCAATGTTAGAGGATTCACTAATAGTATGTCAAACAAATATAGTATAAACTCTTATTAGTTAATTGGAAACCACACACAAAGGAGGTTCCAATCAGATTATAGATTGTTAACATGATTACATTAGTCATCTTATTCCATTAATGCTAATACTTGTAAATCTCGTCAAGCATTCATGATTATAACTTATGTTAACAACAAATCAAATTCCTTTCATGGCTCAGGTGTCGGTTATACCATACAATATGGGCTATGAAAGTGCCAAGCATTTATTGTACCAAGTGTTATACAATATAAATCAAAATTAGTCATTTAACAAGCACAGTATTAAAGAGTGAATAAGATAACAAATATAAAACAAGTTAGTATCAAACATTAAAGTCCATATTGAGTTTACACTATACTTATTCTTACACCATTAGTGTAACCTTTTCACCTTGACATAATAAACTTAGCTAGACATAATGAAAGAAAGAAAAATAAATAAACAAAATAAGAACATAAATAAGATAAAAGTTAACTAAGTAAATGAAAGGAAATGAAAGGCATAAACTTGATATTAATGAAAGCAAAGCATAAACATTACAAAAAATACAAAGAGAGAAAGCAAGAGCATGATCTTGATCTGGAAACCAAGATGGCTAAATGCATGGCAAATGCCTCTTTTTATAGGCTAAAATTGGAAACTATTGATTTGATGACTAATTGATGAGTGGGTGACCAACTCTTGACTTGGTGACAATCCTTATCTTCTCTTGTCTGCCCAAAAAGTCATTGATAACGTCAAAATTGGAGCCACTCAAAAACATGAAAGTTGTAGGCAATTGTCTCAGATTTCTTGTGTAAAACATTTAGCTCATTTGGACTTCTAGAACTCCAGAAATGTCCAAAATACTGAACAGTGCTCGGGCTGGAGGACAGATTCGGGCTTCTTTGTTGTTGCAACAATTTGGACTTGAAAATGACCTTTTTAGATCTTGGGCTCCATATGAAAGTTATAGGCCTATGTCTTACCTTTCCATCCATATAAAGTAGACCTAAATCTGAGGTCTATAGCTCTAGATATGACCCAATTACCGAACAGTATTCCGGTTTGGATTGTACCGACATCTCTTTTCTAAGTTTGGTCATCTCTTTATCCTTTCAATTTCAGTTCTTAAATTCATCAATCAAATCTTTCATTTATGTGATAGGCCTCCATTTAAAATGAACATTTACCATAAATTAAAGGTATCTTATATTATTAGATATATTATTATAAAACATGCTTTAGTCAAGGAGTTATTGATACTTCAAGTGCAAAATGATGATATAAAACCTTGATAAAAATACACTTTTAAGTACTAATCACACCCCCCAACCAGCTTATTACTAGTCCATAGTAATCAAAGCATTAAAATAGAAAAATAATTTGCAAATTCCACAAAGCAAGGTATTCATCATTTAACTTCCATTAATCTATCTAGATAAACAAACTCTCGTTAAATTTATATATCTGCTCAATACCTCTTAACAAGATATTCATAAACCTTTCTTTTGTGCTCAATGTATCAACACATAATTATGGGGCTTTTCTTGGAAGAAAATAAAATTTTTGTTCTAATGTTTAAGATTAACTTCCTTGGGCTAAGATTATTATTTTTGTCTTTTTTTCTTCTTTTTTTTTAAAATATATATACATATAATTTAAAAACACCATGCATCTTTAACCCATGTAACGAGCTTTCGGCTAATGACTCCCAGACTAGTTGGTCTTAGGGCATTAGGTGTTAAGACACCCCTACGAGCTTAGTAACTCGAGTTGCAGATACTGATATATAGATAGTGCAATGTTTGATTCCCTTAAGCTTTTCTCCTTAACCCATATAACAATCGTTGGACCAATAGCTCCCAAGTTAGTTGACTTTAGGGTATTAGGTGTTAAAACACCCCTTTGGACTTAATTGCTTAGGTTAGGGAGGCTACGAAACCAAACTTATCTATATTTTTATTATTATCATTTTTTTTCTTTTTTTTTAATTATATACAATCCCTTTCCCTTAGTTGTTACCTTTAATAAAAGAACATAAATAATGTAATAATCCAATTTGCAACCCACAATCATATGTTAAAATGTGTGTATGTAAATTAAGATTTAAGAATACATGTTAAATAAGTATATGAGTAGAATTAAGTGATAACAATGTGAGAGTTTGTAAATCTGAATATTTCATGAAGTATTATAATAGACCTTGTTAAGAATGGTTACTAAGATGCATTTCAAGAGTCATAAAAGTTCTCCTTACTTTGCCATCATAGCAATAACAATTTTGTACATGCTTTATGAAATAGAAAACACAGTTTTTTTTTTAGCTACTACCCTCTCCCCCTAACTAAAACGAGACATTGTCCTCAATATTTAAAGGTAGAAAGATAGAGTATAGAAGATATCACCTGAAATAATGAACATTGACAAACCTGAAACACTGAAACAAATATAAGTAACAACAAAACACAATAATAAAATCAAAAGACATAAAGATTCACAAATGAAGGCTCAAATCCAATCTAAGCTTTTTACGACTTTCTTTAGTTGACCAATTTATGCGACTCATGGAAAGATCAATTACAAGAATGAAAGATTGTAGTTGGTCAATCAATTGCTCAGCAGTAGCAACTGATTAGTACTTAAAAGTGCATTTTTATCATGGTTTTATATCATCATTTTGCACTTGAAGTATCAATAACTCCTTAACTAAAATATGTTTTATAATAATGTATCTAATAAGATAAGATACCTATAATTTGTGGTAAATGTCTATTTTTAATGCAGGTCTATCACATAAATGAAAGGATTGATTGATGACTTGAAGAACTTAAATTGCATGGATAAAGAGATGGTCAAACTTAGAGAAGAGATGTCGGTGCAATCCAAACCGGAACACTGTTCGGTAATTGGGTTATATCTGGAGCTACAGATCTTAGATTTAGGTCCAATTTATATGGATGGAAAGGTAAGACATAGGCCTACAACTTTCATATGGAGCCCAAGATCTAAAAAGGCCATTATCAAGTCCAAATTGTAGCAACAATAAAGAAGCCCGAATCTGTCTTCCAGCCCGAGCACTGTTCGGTATTTTGGCCATATCTGGAGTTCTAAAAGTCCAAATGAGCTGAATTTTTTACACAAGAAAGCTGAGACAATTGCCTACAACTTTCATGTTTGCAACTGGCTCCAGTTTTGACGTTATCAATGACGTTTTGGGCAGACAAGAGAAGATAAGGATTGTCACCAAGTCAAAAGTTGGCCACCCACTTATCAATTAGTCATCAAATCAATAGTTCCCAATTTTGGCCTATAAAAGGAGGCATTTGCCATGCATTTAGGCATCTTGGTTTCCAGATCAAGATCATGCTCTTCCTTTCTCTCTTTGTATTTTTTGTAATGTTTATGCTTTGCTTTCATTAATATTAAGTTTATGCTTTTCATTTCCTTTCCTTTAGTTAGTTAACTTTTATGTTCTTATTTTGTTTATCTATTTTGCTTTCTTTCATTATGTCTAGCTAATTTAGTTATGTCAAGGTGAAAAGGTTACACTAATGGTGTAAGAATAAGTATAATGAAAACTTAATATGGACTTTAATGTTTGATACTAACATGTTTTATATTTGTTATCTTGTTCACTCTTTAATACTTTGCTTGTTAAATGACTAATCTTGATTTATGTTGTATAACACTTGGTACAACAAATGCTTGGCACTTTCATAGCCCATAATGTATGGTATAACCGACACCTGAGCTATGAAAGAAACTTGATTTGTTGTCAACATAAGTTATAATCATGAATGCTTGACGAGATTTACAAGTATTAGCATTAATTGAATAAGATGACTAATGTAATCATGTTAACAATATATAATCTGATTGGAACCTCCTTTGTGTGTGGTTTCCAATTCAATAATAAAAGTTTATACTATACTTGTTTGATATACCATTAGTGGAACCTCTAACCTTGACATTTGTTATTATTATTGTTTAATCCTTACATTAATATTCCATCTCCAAGTTCTCATCATCATCTTCTCTTCTTCTTCTCTTTCTTTATTATTATTATTATTATTATTATTATTATTAT